CATTATTTTGATGCACTTTTTATGATGTTTTCCCCAAAAACATTTAAAAATCTTACGAAAAGCACTAATTATGTGAAAAATCCCACCAGTGATATGCAATATAGTGGTTGAATATTGGAAAGTAGCTAGAATAGTTCCCTATCCACCTTCATCGGTTAACATCTCTCCATTGTCATATGACAAAACCCACAAACACAAGAAACAAAACTGACACATACACCCATTTCAGAAATATTTTATTATAATGCTGCACAGATGGCTCAATCGTGTTGTAAGTCTGCACCAATGTGGAGCTTTCACCGGATTCCATATGAAATTTGGCATCATATTCTATAAACTATACTGCATGCCACCAAAAGACAATGTTGCACGAGGAGGAATAGTCTCTGAATATTCGAACTTGTAGTGAAAAATCTCTATTAATAATAACTAACCACTACCAATTGGTGTAGATTTTCCAAGCCAGTTGTATAATGCAAGGAATCCACTATGCAAACAATTTAATGCCAGAGCCAGTTTAGAGAAATTCAATACAGAATACCAATCACTGTATATCCGTACAAGCATTTACACCAGTCATGTATCAGAATAAAGTTGCTGTGAAACATGTTTGATGCCCCCATCTTAATTAAAGAGCTTTAATGAAAGTACTACTTTGTGACAAACTAAAAGTCAGAAAGTTCTTAGAGATTTTTGAAACCTATGGAGTTCGAACACAAGCATCGATGGACTGAGATTCCTTATTTAAAGTATTCTAAATTGTTTAGAGACCGGATGAACTCTCTTTAGTAGTCTTTTATCATCTAAGTTACGTTATTAGCTCTTATTACGTTATTAGCTCTTAGTGATCCTAAAGTTATATTTGAAATATTTATTTATACTAGTTATGATAGATCTTTACCTCGTTAACTTAATGACGGTCTAATAACACTTTAATCTATACTATGGACGTAATGAATAATTACTACTGATAATCTCACTACACTGTTGGATCATACTGGACATGGCTTAGGCTTGGGTAAACTGGAAAGACGGCTTGGGTGAACGGCTTAGATGACCTGAACGAACAATCGACGGTGTTTGGCCCTGGCCAGACCGGTACAGTGTTTTTCCAAGTAAAATTTAGACGTATGAATGAAACTTGTGACATAGGATTTGATTATGCAGCAGCATTATTCTCTCCTTGCCTAAGAGGAGGATGATACTTCACGATTAGGAGAGTGTTCTAAAGCCCTCTATGAAGACTTTGAGTCAATTTAGCAAATTGTTCAGCCAAGATCCAATAATTCATGTATAAAAAACCTTATTACGTTGAATCTAACATGACACTGAATAACAATTTTCTGATCTTTCATGTGGTCACGTATACAAAACATCAACATAACTAAATCGAGAATGATATAAAGTAAACATAAGCTAGGTGTTTCCCTCTTTAATGTTTACCTTCTATTCACATTTTGCAAATACTGAGTTGGAGCATCTTATTAGGAAGTCGAAAAAGATTTGCACCGAAAAGAACTGTACTTGGCCCCAAGAAATCATCAAGGAATTTGGAATCAGATATAGGACACAAGCATGCAAATGAAAGTGGAAAAAGATTAGTTTGAAAATTCCACATGGCATAGGAAATGAGGAAAAGTGATAAGGAATTGGGCATTTAGAAGTCTATCTATTTTAGCTTTGCATTGATAGATAGTGGCTTTATTAGTGCGGTTAGGCCAAGTCACATTCCTTCAACGCTTGAACAGTTTGAGAAGGAAATGCTTCTTGTCTTTTGGTTGAGTTCAGGCATCTATAAAACCAAGTTGATTGGGCACTCTATTCTAGGAAAAGAAAAAGGTAAAGAGACTTCTGTTTCTGCCAACATTCCCAAAGAATCGTTTTCCCTTTTGATCATGCAATGCAAACTACCTTACTCAATTTTTAAGAGCCAAATATCTTTGAGTTGACCGTACAAAAGTAACATATATTTTGGTAGGATATCCCAGAGAAGAAACTTGAGATAACCTTGATTCATGGCTACAAATTAACCTATGATTGAGTGCATCACACTATAACACATAACCAGGTTACACGTATTTTTGTTTATTTTTAACTTTGTCCTCAGCACAATCATTATATGCAAATCTTTAACCTTAGATAAATATAAGAAATTTAAGTTAGAGAAAGTGTCAATCCTATATATAGATTATTCTCATGACCTTTGTTATTTATATTTCAATCCTATATATGAATTTTGACTATTATCACTAGTGAAAATACATGTATATGTGTTTACTTTTTTTTTATGATTTTATTGTAAATAATTTTTATTTATTTTATAAGAAGTTTTATAATTAAAAATAATTAATTTTTAGTTAAATCGAAAAAATGATTAAATTAAAAAATTACTTAAATAATAAAATTAATAAAATAATTGTTGTAGTTTAAAAAAAATTATTTTAAAAAAGTAGAATTGAAAAATAGATGTTGACACCAAAAAATTCCCTTGATTTAAAAAAAAAATCTAAATTGTGTTCTTGAAACATGTTATTTAAACGAAGCATAAAAATAGGTTTTTTTTGGGAATAAATATATTGTTTCTATAAAAACTAAGTGAAAAAGTAACATATTTTGCAAAGTTTCTCAATATTTTTCTTTCCTAAAATCTCATTTTCAAAATAGTTATTTAGTTGAAGATGATTTTTAAATAATGTTATTCTATGATATATAAATCACTGCTCTAAAAAAAATAGCAAATATACTCTCTAAAAGTTAAACATTTTTTTTTTCTGGAGTAAGTCAAACTTCAAAGTTTTACTGTTTTTTAATCTGTATCAGTCTAAAACTTGATCATGATTTTAGGAGGCGCAAGTCGATTAATTTTAAAACGAAATTTTTATACTTATTTGATAGAGAATATCACTGATATTAATTAAGTGATTCGCTTATTCCTTTTTTCTTTAATGCCAAAAGGAATTTTTTTTTCAGTATTATGTCTTAAAAAGGAATAAAATCTGCATGCTCTTTAGCATGGGATTCTAGGTCGTCGTGTTTACATTTCACCACTAATTTTCTTTAAATGAATCATATTCTGTGATTAAATGAATATGATTATGATATATTTATCTAATATATAAACTATATACATTATTCTATTTTATCGGAAAGAGATAATGAAATTAAAATTTCTATTATGGGATCGTTTGTTTAAATTTCTTCATATGAAAATCCTTTTTTCTTTAAAAAAATATATATATAATTTTGAAGTCTTCAATCTGTTTATACATTTTTTTAAGTGAAACAAAAAAACATGATATTTTAAATCGACTATTTTTAATAATTTATAGGAAAATAATAATTATTGTAACTACTTTTAAAATATGATTATTTCCCTTATATTTTCTGTTTCTAAAATTTTCGCACAAACTGTGTAAAGATAAAACAAAACTGTTTTTATATACTATCATTAATAATAAAAATGTAATGAAAATAAAAGTTCTATCGACGCAAACATGTCCAAATTTTTTTTGTATTTCGTGCATCTTAAGATTTGTTGTAATAGATTTGAAGAAGATAAAAATTAGCAACTATAAGGTTTGTGTTTGTGTATTATGACATGGAAAAATCAACTTAACTAAGATAACTCTATTATTTTCTGTTAAAAATAAAGTATCTTTCATTATCATATTTATAGTGATAATTAATATTAGAGTCATATAATAATAATTTTGATAAAGTCTTATATCCTTATAGGAGGGATTAATAATTATTTAAGAATAGATCAATCGTGCTGAATAATTTGAACTTTTCATTAACATTAAAAATTTAGTAAAGGTAAATTGAATGAAGGAAGTTAACTAATTTACGATTTTTAAAATTAAAGCAATTCTACATTATTAATATTTTTTTATGCTTCATGTGTATTTGATGTAACAACTCGTGAAAATTTACTAAACAAATATTGTAAGCATTTCATGGTTATAGTCAATAGCAAATAATTTAGAATCATAAAATATATACAACTAAAGGAAGTTAAGATTAAAGGAAACAAACATAAAAGAAAAATGTTCTTTTCAAAAATAAATTATATCTACAAAAACTGTCAATTCTAAAATATAATTTTTTAGATCTTATCTTTGATAATAAAAATTAATATCAGACACATTTACAATTTTCATAATTATTAAATAATTTTTATATTTCAAAGGTTCATGAATAATTATCCGTTATTTTCTTATTTTATATAATTTAAATATAAAAAACATGATTTATTTTTCACTTTATTACGAAAACAATTATATTCTATCTTCACGAATATTTGATAAATTCAAACTTTATGATCTCATTTTAAGAGATATATAAACTTAATTTTCTTCTAACCGTTATTAATAAAACAAACAGCGTTTCTCCTGTATAAAAATATTATTTTATATTTTCTATATTGGGTTAATAGGAGGGCAAATTCGTCATTACAAGTAGTTTTTTCCCTAGAAAGCAAAGCAACCATGGTTACGGTAGTCCCTTCCCTTTTGTTCCATCTGTCCCTTCTCGTCTTTTTCCCAATAACGAAGTCCTTTTGCTAAACTGGGAAAGGTTTGGTGCCACACTGTCGCAACGAAACATACTTTAGTTAAAATGTCAGATTTAACGTAATTTGATAGAATCCATTTAAGAAAATAATTTTTTTACATTTAACAATTTAATACTAACTTCATTCAGTTTTGAATCAAATCAAACACTTACTACTACGTGTCACTGTATTTAAAATAAGCGAGTAGAATATAGAATTTAAAAAAAATTAGTGTTTTAATGTAATTTGAAAAAACTTCAATATATAAAGGTGTAATTTATAACGCGTGTAATTCAATTTATTCAGTCCATCAAAATGTTAATATTTTATTATAGAAAGGTTTTATAGTTAATTATTCCAATAAAACATGGCAAAATGTAGCTTATTTTGTACGATAACAGTATCTATGTCTGACACTGTTTGTTCTGGTATATTCTTTTGCTATGGTTCGGTTAAATAACAAACACTGCCATTGGTTGAAAGAAAAAGGCAACAAGTACCACCCAAATCTAAACTAGTTCCCACATCCTCTGGAAGCAAAGCATTTCCCAAGAGAACAAGTATGTGCATGTGTCCCTGAAAAATGGTTCCAAAATTTGGTGGTGGAGTTGATGATGGAGGGACTGGCCGAGGAACTAGGCCTATCTGAACATCACCCACCTTTTCAAACTGAAACCAAGATTTGGGAGTCACCCTTTTCAGCTTTCTATGTTCAAGATTGTGTTTCTTCGTTTTGGAGTTTAGAGTCATGCTGTTTCTTGGTCTTGGATCTTCTGTAAGTGTCATATCTCATAATATGGGTTCAACCTTTCTCTGTAGTGCAAATGGTATGATACTGCCCCTTGAATCTTCAAACTCACCGTTTTCTTTTCTTGTTACTCTTGGGTTGGATTGCTTATTTATTGGGGTTAATAGATCAGGTGTTTCTCTGTCAATTCTAAACTCATTCTAATGCTTGAACTTCGGTTTCTGATCGTGTTGGATTCGTATTGCTGTTTTACATGTAACATGATTAAGTTAGTGAATCCTTTCATATTTTGGAGTGATGTTTTATATCGTTTTTCCAACTAATAGAAGCAATAAAGTTATTGTTTGATGAACATACCCTTTATTTGTCAATTTTTCGTTTCTTTCCTTGCGTGTAATAGCCACCTTACCATTTGACTTTTATGTTTGATGTTTGAATAGATTTTATGCTTACGCAGAAAAACTGACTTGCACGCACCTTATGTCTGTGAACCAATCTTCTGAAAATAATCAGTCATCATTTTTTGTAATAATTTATAGTCTTGTTTAGTCAAAACACAACGATCCCTTTTGATTTCACTTCTTTCATATGCAGTTAAGGATATTGATTCTTCAAAAGCAGTTCATTAATTTAATGTGAATCTCACATTTTTTTCTTGCCTCGTGAATTAGCATGATTTAATTCAAAATTTTGTCATCTTATATATTACAACTGCTATCTCATTATATAATTTTTTTCCATTCTCTTTTTATATTGAAAGTGATTGGAGAAAGTACTCACTAGTCTACTTGTCGCAGGTTTGAAATAACTTATCTGGTAACGGATGCTCTTTTGCCTTCTGACAATGTCTAGTCTCTTTCAAATCCGATGTTGTTCTTTCGGACGAGTCATCTGATAGTATCACCATGTGGTAATCAAGTAGCAGAAAGTATGTGCTGATGCAACAAAATGATTATGTGTTGATTGATTCTTCTGTTGAAAAGCATCCCTGTTAGACCAGACCTGTTGTTTTTAGCTTCACTATTGGGAAAATCTCCTTTGGCAGTATAGCTTCCAAGTTCCAAACTTGACGAGGCCAATTTACTAACAATCTGGATATTTATGTTTGAAGACTCAACTATATTGGGCAACTCTCCTTTGGCAAGTTACTTAGTTTCCTTTGGTTGGATTCCTGGCAGTAAACATATATTTCACTAGGAACTCCTCAGTTTCACCAGGGAAAATCTACTTTGACATCTTTTAATTATCTTGGTAAGCTTCCTCCTACTACCTTGATTTTTCATCATACAATCACAACGAAAGATCTGATATTCGTTGTTTCTTGATATTAGTTTTTGAAAGCCTTTTCAAAAGGTTCTTTCTGTGGAAATAGCAGTTCAAACTGGGCAAATCTCCTTTGGCATTTAGAGTCTTTAATAGACTCTTGTTACCCTATCAGGTAAATCTCCTTTGGCATTTTGGAGTTTTTGATCGACTCCTGTTATCATATCAGGCGAGTCTCCTTTGCCATCAACTTTCCAGTTTCAGTGGTCAAGAAACTGGTTTACTATCTGCGACAAACATTGGTATCATCAGACACATTTTGTACACAATTATCCTTCGAAGTCAGTATTGACAAATCTGTCGTGGATCACAATAGCCCCTGGATTTCAATGTTTCTGTTTACTTGAGAAGGTAAGGATCCTCTTAACTGAAGGTAAGGATCCTCTTAACTCCTTATTTATTGTAAATGTTCTTTCATAGGTTCTGATCGATTGACCAACAATGATTTCTTTGTTGTGTTTTGAAGTTATTTTCTTGTAACTATGTTATTGATGTTACCATGCACACACAATGACAGGCATCTAGTTGATGGATGCTCACATTACTGATTTGGAGTGGGAAACTTCCAGTGACAGCAGCAACAGCAGTGAGGATCAAGAGGATATTGATTTTCAATATGGTGGACAAGCCCGGAGCATATTATCGAGTTTAGAGGAAAGCATCGGAAAGATTGATGACTTTCTCTCATTTGAGAGGACATTTGTCCATGGGGATGTGGTCTGTTCCTCCTCCGACCCATCAGGACAGATGGGGAGGGTCACAAGTGTTGATGTGTCAGTGGACTTGGAAAGTGTTCAAGGAAAGAAATTAAAAAATGTGAACTCCAAGAAACTTATGAAGATTCGGTCCATTTCAGAAGGTGATTATGTAATTAAGGGGCCATGGATTGGTCAGGTTCAAAGGGTAGTAGACAGAGTGGTTATATTGTTTGATGATGGAACTAAATGTGAGGTCATTACCTTGGAAAAAGATCAGATTTTACCATTGACTCATAATCTTCTTGAAGATTCACAGTATCCGTACTATCCAGGGCAGAGAGTCAAGGTTAAGAAGACCTCCACAGCTTCTAAACCAGCAAGGTGGCTGTGTGGCACCTGGAAAGACAATCATGGTGAAGGAACTGTTTGTGCTGTGGAAGCAGGTTTGGTGTACGTTAATTGGTTTGCCTCTGTTCTTTTCGGTTCCAATTTGAATGTAAATGTTCCTCTATGCTGGCAAGACTCAAAAAACATGACCTTGTTGTCCTGTTTTTCACATACAAACTGGCAACTTGGTGATTGGTGCATGCTTCCACCTGTGGACCAAAAGGAACAGATGATTCAAGTTGCATCTCCATGTGATCCTCAAAACGAGCATAGTAAGGCTAGAGGATGTAAGACGAGTAACATTGGGGAATTATTTATAATTGAGAAGATAAAGACCGAAGTTGATGTCATTTGGCAAAATGGTGAACATACTATGGGATTAGATCCGCTTAACTTAATCCCAGTGAATGTCATAAACAGTCATGAATTTTGGCCCCAGCAGTTTGTGCTGGAAAAAGGTGTTTCTGATGATCCTCTTAAACCTAGCAATCAAAGATGGGGTGTTGTTCTTTCCATGGATGCAAAAGAGCATACTGTAAAGGTACAATGGAGAACTTCTGCCACATCCGGGACTGATAATTTGACTGGAGATGCAATGATGGAAACTGTGAGTGCCTATGAACTACTCGAGCATCCAGATTATTCTTGTTGTTTTGGCGATATTGTGTTCAAGGCGGCTCAAAAGCAGCTTGGTGACCAAGCTGACAAAGATAATGTGAAGTCGGCAACTGATGTAATTGTAGAGGCTCCTCTGATAAACCGGGACCAAATCAGTTATCAGAATAAATCTGTAGATAGCAGTTACCTCTCCTGCATTGGCAATGTTACTGGTTTCATAGATGGTGATGTGGAGGTCAAATGGGCTACTGGTTTAACAACAAAGGTATGACATTTTTATTTTTTTATTCAATATATTGTAGTTAACGATGACAATGAGTATGCATGGAAATGTAAAATTCTTGACGTCAACTTTTCCCATATCTGCATTATCTATATAAACTGTTTAATAGATAATGATAGATCCTATTAGTTTAATGATCTTGTCCTCTCCCCCAATCCTGCTTGTACATGTAAATGTGTGGCTGGGTGGCTGTGACTGTGCTGTGAGGATAAAATCTTTGTTAGATGAAAATGGGGTGTTTTTGTAGCAGCAGTTTTGTTTTGTGTAGTAAAGGTTGAATGAGAATACCCTTTTCCATTCTTGTGAGATACAATAGGAAATTATTTTCTTTCTATCAAAATCTTAATGTAGTGATAATTGGTAAATAGCTGTTAGTTATGACCACTAAACTTGAAATAAATCGTACTTATTTGATAATCCTACTTTCTGTTGTAATTATACGCTACTTGGTTACCATCATCTACAGGAAGTTATTACAAACTTATTTGTGCCCCTACAGGCTGCACCTTATGAAATTTTCCGAATTGATAAGCATGAAGATTTAACTGCAACCCCTGTTCCTTATGAAGCAAATGTTGAGGAGTTCTCCCAAGAGATGATTGATCATAGAAGTCTTTCATCAGAACAGAAGGGAAAGGTGAGGGCGATAAATTCTATGTATGTCTTGTATTTATGTACATCCACATGTTGAAATACAAAGTTCTCATCTTGGAAATTGTAGTGAAAAGTCAAGTAGCTAATAGTAAGAGAAAATAGAATAGAACTTTTAAACTGGTCAAAATTATGGATCTATTGTCATCATAAAACTGCATTTTTTAATGCAATATAGTTGTTGAGTTTACCATTGATTTTCTAGTCATCAGCTGAATATCATTTTGATGACAGAGATTGTTAGATTGTAATTGCGATAGAGAAAATTGTGAAAAGCATTCAGGAGAGAGCAGTTCCTCATCCCTTCCTCAAGCTGCCTTTGAACTGTTCTCCACCATTAAGGCTAGCATACTCAAAACACTTTCTGTAGCATCGCTTTCCGGAAAATTCTCCCCAATCCCTAGGTTTGAAGAGGGAAATGAATCTAACTGTCTTGATAAGAAAGATTTGGACACTTGTGACCCTGACACTGACTCACATTTGGTGAGCAAGCTGCAGTCTTCTGAAGGCATAACTCCATACTGTGAAGTTATTGGGACGCATGAGAGGAATGACTTTCCAGTTTCTTTAGACAACAAAAGCTCAGATCAGTTGAAGCAGTTTGATGTAATTGATAATTGCTCAGACCACCACTTTTTTGATCAGGGGAAAGGGTTTTCGTTTTCTCAGGTCAGAAATTGACACATAGTATACTCACGGTAAATTCTACTTGCATTGAAAGGATTGGGGTTAATTTGTTTCCTACTTTTGTCCTTTGTTAGGTAAAAAAGGATTGGGTGAAGAAGGTACAACAAGAATGGATCATCCTGGAAAAAAATCTCCCTGGTGCACACTTCATCTTATTTATTTTGAGCCATACTATTTTGTATGCTTTGCAGCATACACTGTTATCCAATGGTTAAACTCAGACTAGAAAATTATATTTGGACTGGGATTGATAATGCTTTTACTTTTATGTGGAAGAAAAACACCAAAGTTTTAGGAAGACCAGTACCCTTAGACTGAGCATATTCTTTAAAATGGGAATTAAATTGGTGGTTGCTATATAGATGAACAAAAAGTTGTCAGAATTCTATTTTTCATAAGCTGGAATCCGTAAGCTTAATTGAAAGTATTATTTGTTGGCCATTAAGTTTTAACCTGAAACTGATTTGAAAATGGCTAGTATTTACTTGTCAAAAAAGGAAATCCTTATAACTGGTGATTTTCATCACACCTTTCTGCAAAATTCACTTACAATCTTTATTTGCACAAACAGAAATTATTTATGTCCGTGTCTTTGAAGAAAGAATGGATCTCATGCGAGCAGCCATTGTGGGTGTGTCTGGAACACCTTATCATGATGGATTGTTTTTCTTTGATATACATTTCCCTTCAGAGTTTCCCAGCCAACCCCCGGTAAGCTTTCTGAACGTAGTTTTTGGTATGCTTTTCTGAATTCTTTTCATTTATGTGCATAGTAACACTTTCAACATAGCATTTAGTATTCTTACAGAGAAAGCTGCATATTTATGACTTTTGCAATCCCATGCAGATGGTACATTACATTTCTGGTGGACTACGATTGAATCCTAATTTGTATGAGTCTGGTAAAGTCTGTTTGAGTCTCCTAAATACGTGGACCGGTACAGCTGCCGAAGTTTGGAACCCTGGAACTTCAACCATTCTTCAAGTCCTTCTTTCCCTGCAGGCCCTTGTCCTTAATGAGAAGCCTTATTTCAATGAGGCTGGATATGATCAACAAATTGGTAGAGCTGAAGGGGAGAGAAACTCTGTTAGTTACAATGAGAATGCTTTCCTTGTCACCTGCAAATCCATTTTGTATCTATTAAGAAAGCCTCCCAAGGTAACATGACTCCTTCTCTACTTTGGTTTCTCTCTGATCTATTAAACTGGACTCAATTAGGATAAATACTGTTTGAGATTCTACATTAATCAGAGATAAAATGAGTTTATAGTATATAAAGATGTGTAAACCTAACATTACAAGCTGGTTTTGCAAAGTTAAATCAGACTTAAAATTCACTTCTTAACATAATATCAAATCGTATATTTGAGTCTATAGTTGTTAAGAAAATGGTGGCATTGGAATCTTAGAATATTTAGTTATATAGATGGAACATTGACTAACTAAAAACGACTCTTGGTTTAGCATTTTGAGGCTTTGGTGGAGGAGCACTTTAGACAACGTTCCAGACATATACTTCTGGCTTGTAAGGCATATCTTGAAGGAGCTCCTATTGGATGTGCTTTTGGTGGTGAAAATACTGAGAATGAAAACCAAAAGGGAACTTCTACTGGATTTAAGATCATGCTTGCTAAGCTTTTCCCGAAGCTTGTGGAGGCATTTTCTGACAAGGGAATTGATTGCAGCCAGTTTGCTGAGATGCAAAAGTAACTGCTCTACCTTGTGTCAAAGATATCTAAACCTTATGTTTAATATTAAATGTTCACTTATCTGTATAATATAAAATGTATGCTTGATAAAAACAACAATATCCTCTTGTAAACCAGCCCCTTCCCAAAATAAAACAAGTGTGAAGATGTATTGATAATAAATATCCTATGGGGTATGCGTGTACATCATACATATATTATAATGGCTTGATTATGTGAAACTGTGAAATAAGAATTACTGTGATTGGAGTAATTTTCTTGATGTGCCCTTTGGTCCATTTGATAATGATTTCTAACGTATTTTGGATAATAGGGAGTTTGGTGAAGGTATCATTGATCACTTCACTAACTCAGTTTGTGTAGCTTTCAGAGGGTTGAAAAATGTTTCTTTCAAATTTACAATGAATACTTTGTTTAGATTGACACGATGATGACTAGGAAGTCAATAGCAATGCAATATACATCATTTCAATTGGATGTTACGTGTGGTATATGAAATGTTAACCTAGAATGAGTGAGTTAAAACCACGGTTTAGAGGATCTGTCACTGTTGTGTAGACAATGAAAGGGTTCAACAAAATCTCCATTATTGCTAAGCTGACTAATGTATATGTATCATCGACTAGAATAAAATGGAATGTGATGTTGAATATGCTATACAAAAATAGTTTTTTTAACGCTTATTTATTAATTTTATTTAGTCTTATTAATAAAAATGTTGATCTAGCTCTTCAACTTTTAGAGGTTATAAAAATGTGATAATTTAATCCTAAAAGGGTTGACAAATAAGAATTCATAGTTTTAATTCATGCATATTATAATTTATAGACAATTTATAGAACCACAATAATTTTAGCGTGTTTTTACATTTTTAAAAAGTTATGAGAATTAGTCGATTTTTAAAAAATCAATTACTTACTTTTTTAAAATTGAAGGATTTAATTTAATAAAATAGAATAAATAAATAGTAGTAGTAAATAGATAATTAAGTCTAAATTTTAACTCGTGCAATTCACACGGAAACTTTTCCTACGTATAATTTCTTACAAAGAAGATTATCAACATGAGATTATTTTGTTGAAGAAAATAAAAAATGGTTACGTACAAAAAAGGCTAACAGACGTGAAAAACAGGAACGTGGGTATTGTGTATGTCGTCGTTCTGAAGTGCTCCGTCCCTTCTACTCATCCATTTCAGATTCTTTCTTTACACGTAAATCCCAATTTGAATTTCTAAAACCCTAGAATTCGAATTCTCCATCCAAATGTGACGTAGATTCAGCAATGGAAACTGTATCACTCAATCCTCTCTTCATCTTCTTTCTTTTCTTCGGCCTTTTCTATTCCTCTGTTTCTATTAATCCTTCAGATTTAGCATTCAAGTCCACCTACAGCCGTCTCTGCAGCCACCTTGTCCCTGAACCGCCGGTGCATTCCGACGCCGGAAATGTCCCCGGCGTTGCCGACGATCTCCGGTTCCAATCCGGATATTTCTCCGGCGGCGATCGTATCTTTAACAGATCCGGCGCTTCGATGCACGCGTCGTTCCGCGTGACCTTGGTTCGCCGAAGCGGGAGCGACGGCGTTTTCGAATTGCGCGGGCAAATGCTTCTGCAGCAGCGTAGAGGAGCGACGCCGGCGCCGGGAAGGCTGCTCCGGCGAGTTTTTTCGTTCGGGAGAGTGACGCATTGGATGCGTGTTTCCGTGAGTGGATTTTGGTCTCAATTTTCCGGTAACCTTTGTATGTTCGGAACAGGATCTCATGCTAACCTGCGGAGTGCTAATGTTGTTCTTAAGCTTCGTTACCCTAGAGATTTGAGCCTTTTGAATTGTTTGATTCGTGGAACACTAGAAAGTTTTGATGACAATAATAGTTCGCAGTTCTTTGAGCCTATTTCGATATTGGCTTTGTCTCAGAGTTCGAAATACAAGTTTACAGTGGCTGGGAATGAAAGAGAGAAAGTTTGTGGAGGTGGAGGTGGATCAGATAGGGAGGGTTTGTCCCTTAGAAACTTAAACCGGGGTGCTTGCACTGCTTTTCTTGGACACACGAATAAGTTTGAATTGGAATATGGGAGTCAGTGTAGTAATGTTAGTTGCAATCCTGTCAGTGGTAATGGTGAAGAACTGCCTGGTTATATGTTTTTTCATGGCACACTTTGTGCGGAGAGGAAGAAGGTTCAGATGCTGTTGGGTTTTTCTGATTCCGGCTACCGGGATGCTATATTTCCGTTTCATCCGAATACAACTTTGGTTTCTGAGGGGAAGTGGGATGACAAGGAGAATCGGCTATGTGCGATTGCTTGCCGGATCTTGAACTTCACAGAATCTTGGCTTAGTCCTTATGTTGGAGATTGCAATATTAGGCTTACTTTAAGTTTTCCTGCAATTTTATCTTTGAGGAACAGGAGTACAGTTTTGGGGCAAATTTGGAGTGACAAAGCGGTTAATGAACCTGGCTACTTCAGTAAAGTTGGATTCCAGGGTTCATCGAGGGTATCAAAAGGTCTCCATGGTTTCCAATACAAGTATACTGAAACTGAGAAGGTGAGAAAATCTTGTGTGCAGATGATGAATGCTGGAGGGAAGGGAAATACATATCCGAGTGGATATTCATCTGATATGGCATTTAGCATGTTAGTGACGAACAGCAAAGGGCAAGTGGCTCAGGGTTACACAGCACCACTATCTGTAAATGATCAAATTTATAATGGACAGTCGTATGGGGCTCCAATTGTGTTGACAACTGAAAATTCAAAAGCACATGGAGTTCAATCAGAAAATTACAATAATTTGTTGAATGTCAGCTATACGATGAGTTTTAAACCCCCTCCTGCTTTCAAGTTTGGTGGAGGTGTCTTGTCAACCGAAGTCAAAATTGGTGCTGAAGGGATTTACAATAAGAATACTGGAGTTCTTTGTATGATAGGATGTAGGCGTTTGAGATCAACGGAAAAAGTACTGATAAAGAATGAGTCTCTGGACTGTGAAATCATGGTTAATGTTCAGTTTCCTCCTTTGAACACAAAAGGAGGTGAAGCTCTCAAAGGAACTATAGAAAGCACACGACAAAAGTCAGAGCCTTATTATTTTGATCCCCTTCAGTTGTCTTCATATTTCATTTACACAACCCAAGCAGATGCTTCCATTTTGAGAATGGATTTTGAGTTAATTATGGTGTTGGTATCAGACACACTTGCTTGTGTTTGTGTAGGATTGCAACTCCTCCACGTGAAAAAGCACCCAGATGTGCTTCCTTACATTTCTGTTGTGATGCTTGCTGTTATTACTCTAGGTCACATGATTCCCCTGATTTTGAATTTTGAAGCTTTATTCACGGGGAAACACAGCGTGCAGAATACTTTTCTGGGGAGTGGAGGCTGGCTTGAAGTGAATGAGGTATTTGTGAGGATAGTGACACTGGTAGCCTTTCTTCTAGAGTTGCGCCTCATACAATTGACCTGGTCCTCAAGACAGGTTGAGGGAAGCCGTCCAGGTCTCTGGGGTTCTGATAAAAAGGTCCTTTATATTATTCTACCATTGTACATTGGTGGTGGATTGACTGCTTGGTCGGTGCACATATGGAAGACTTCTTACCAGAAAAAATTTAGACCATTTCGGCTTTCGCGCCACAAGTTTAAGCTTCCTCGTGGGTTCGTATACCGACCTCCTTCCCTCTGGGAAGCCTTCAAATCTTACGCTGGTCTGCTCCTGGATGGTTTTCTGCTCCCACAGATTCTGTTTAACATAATGTTTAACTCAGAAGGGAAATCTCTAGCCTCTTCCTTTTACGTTGGGACAACAATTGTTCGTACACTGCCCCATGTGTATGATCTTTTTAGAGCTCACATTTCTGCATGGTACCTTGATTTGTCATACATATATGCAAACCATAGAATGGATTTTTATTCCACAGCCTGGGACATTATAATCCCTAGTGGTGCTATTTTATTTGCTCTTCTCGTATACTTTCAGCAGAAATTTGGCAGTCGGTGCATTCTTCCAAAGAGGTTCAGAGAAAGTTCTGCCTATGAGAAAGTACCTGTTATTGGCAATGACGATTTATGAAGGCCTCATTTGTGGCGTTTTGTAAAATGATTTTTTATTTAGTTTTAGAATGCATAAATTGCAATAGAAGGTATACACTTCAGGATCTAGCAGTAGAGGAGGATTTTGCTCATATCAAGAAACCGTCTGAACCTCCTTTCATAGCTGATACATCATCTTTTTTTCTTTTGGAAAATTTATCGAGACACAAACACATGTTGAACAGCTGAAGACTTGTTATCATTTTGTTTAAAGTACATAAGTTTTGATGAAGGATTTTTCCTCCAAATTTCACATATTATGACTATGCAATACAAATTCCTGGATAGCTTGGGTTATTCCAAAAGTTCAACTGTTATTGATGAAAAGGAGAAAAGAGCAGAGGTGTTATTTGATTCACTAAGTTATATTTTACTTTAGTTCATTTAAATTAATGCTAAAAATCTTTTTAATTTTTTAGTCATTAACTACAACTGCTCTTTATCCTACAAACTAAATCTACCAAGCTAAATCATCTTTCAGGTATATTATTATTTGCTTATAACAATGTCTTCAGCCTTCATTGAGAAATCCGTTAACAAAATTTCCAGACTATTCATCCTGAAAAAGTATTTTCTAAGAATGCCAGATTTATACAGAAAATCAAAAGGTGGAGGGCATAACTGACGTAAATTAGGTAAAAAATAACAGAAAAAATTGATGAATTTTTCGGGAACAAAATAAGTGTATAGTTTAGAAAAAAAAAATTATAATTTTCATACTATATAAATTTATATATATATATATATATATATATATATATATATATATATATATATATAATTGTATCATTTTTCTATTATTTAATTAATTATTCATAAAAATAATAAAATATATATTTTAAGGTAATAAAAATATAAATAAACTTATGATTATCCTCTAGTTATTATAAAATTAAACAATCATATTCAGGACAGTTTATAAGTAAATAACACCATTCAAACTTAAACTATTAATATATTTAAATTAAGTTCTTTAGAAATGATTTTCCTTTTCTAATCTATTAGTAATTACGAAATATATGCGACCTATACGGAATGAACTCTTTCAAAATAAGTTTTTTTCTTGAAGGGAAAATCTTTCCGATCGCCAGAAGAAAAAGTTTTACTCTTAAGAGTCACTTAGGTTATTCCATTTATATGATCTAATTGTAAAATTTAAATTCAAAATCAGAACAGTGCTAGACGACTGACAATGTTAAGTCTTAAATATCGTTGATTCAGTGGCAATGTCGTGTTCTGTTAGAGTAGGTTGCACTACATATGAACAGAATGTACAGCAAACGATAGACAGGCAAAACATCAGATAATCCTCTAATACTAATCTACAGAGACTCAATCTGTGTTGCGGCAAAATTTCAAGGCAACAATCCGACTCCTTCCCTAATAGATCGTGTCATGGAGTGTCACTGAAAGAAAACTAAACCTGCTTTTACGTTTTCACATAGCAATACCTGAAAATAAAAACACAAATTTGAATTAGAATTAAAAAGAATTCTATGAAGTACAAATATGAGTATTAAGGCTATGGTGAAAAAAAGATAGTCTGCAGATTGTCTTTAGGTAATGTGAAAGACATGTGCATATTTTATCCAAATTTCACAAATATTTGCAGCATGCAAAAAAAAAAAACACTTTATAGTAATTAGCGAAGAGAGAACTTGGATGACCCAAAATGGACAACTTTTGACACACTCAATAGAACATTGATCTTGTTAAAACAATAAACGCGTGATCCATCAATTATTTAAAGAGTTACATGGATGCTCCTTTAAAATTGTATTGTAATTGAGTCAAGAAACAATTGTTCTGTTTTTTATGTGTACATACACGAGATTATCTGTGGGCATCCATTTGCCACGGCATACAACGAACTTTGACTTGCCATTAGTGGTTGGTCTTCAATCTTGTGTTAGAAACTGGTAACTTGTACTGGTTCACTATCCATGTTGATGCTACTACCTGGGAATATACAGAAACACATCTCAGCAACTCGGCATAGTAGCCCTTTTGATTTAGGTCGACCTGCACATGCATCGAATGCATGGGTTAACTCAATAGCAAACTGTTTCAAGCATCAACTTCCGAATCTCTATACACCAGGGTAAATCATAGTTTACGGGGTAAACTCAGCTTCAGTGTTACTAATTACTCAGCAACTACAAACACCCTGGTGTCTTCATATTCAGTATGGACTAAAATATTATAAAGAAAAAAAACATGATGTAAGTTACCTCCAATCACCACCTTAAACAGACTTCTTGCCACTAACTATTCGAGATATCTGGAGACCTCTGCTGAAAGCTTCATTAAAGAGAATTCTAGTTTGCATAGATTGAAATCCAGGTAACCATGAGAATATAGCCATTGGAGCCATAACAATTATGCCAAACAACAAATCATACAGACGAGCCAGGGAAACAACAGTCTCCCACACTTTAGTTGTCTGTAAAAATGGCCTAAGCACCTGGGCTATTAAAATCATTCCCCATCCTGTTGGAACGAATGCCAACAAGCTTGATAGGAGATCAACAAATTTTAAATGAGCGAATTCCAGTAGGAGGACAAGTACAAGAACTGTGACTAGAATCACAAGAAGCTGAACTGATCGATAATAGATGTGCTCCTTTGTAGCATATTTATCTCGGGCATATGCTATGGTAATATAAATGGCAACAATCACAACCATGACTATCCAAGACAACAAGTAAACAGCTATACTAGTATTTCCCCCTGCAATACCTAGCTGATAAACAATGCCATACTGAAAGAAAAAGAATCGAAGGTCTAAAATGATTTCTAACAGCTTTCCCCATATACCGGTTGTTTTTAAATGGTCTTGCTCCTCGTACCACCATGTTTCCCAGCTATGTTCTGCCTTTTTGAAGGGCCCACCCGGATACCATATCCAATTCATAAAATCTTCAAAGTCGTATACAGTCTTCAACCAATCAAATCCAGAGGGGTTAAAGACAAAAGGAGACATTATCCATGCAACGACAAGAAACCAGCTTGAAATTGTCATAACTATGTACACAAAAGTATCCTTAGCCAAGGGACTATGAGCAGCATACACAATTAAAATAACCCCAAGTTCAATACCCTTCACAAAATGGCTTCGAGCATATAGTCTATAGTTCTCAGCAAAAGACTTGTGTGCCACAACGAAACCACGGCCAGTGGCTCGGTACTTAGCACCACCATGAAGTATAGTCCGACCAAAGAAATGCGTGCGAGTTCCCAAAGAGAATGTGTAAAATAGTGATGCAAGCTGCAATTGCATCGTCAAGAAGTCCCAAATAGCTGGAAGGAAACCGTGCTCCAGAGAGTTTTCAACAATCATTGGGAGTGCAGTGAAAATACCAATCTGGATTGCAAACTGCTGATTTAGGACTGCACCAAGGGCTTCATTGTTTGTAGCATTATCCGAGGCTGCACCCTCAATTCCACTAAGAGCCATATAAAGACGGCCCCAGAGGAAGGCATAAACCATTAGTACAGTAACCATTGAGTTAAAATAAAATCCTATGGTTGTGTAGAACACTGAAAGCATGCGAAAGAAGTCTAATCTATGGCCTAGACGGTACACATCTCGGCTCAGGATCTGCTCACCGTTGCCACTAGAAATCTTGGCCTCAAACATGGATATTTGATTCAAACCAACATCTCTTCCTTTGCCTACCTGTATATATTCGTGATGTGTAACATTGCCACCTCGCAGGGTACAATTGAAACCAGCAAAAATATCTTCACTGATATTGATCACTCTGGAGGCCTTGCTAACTCCACCGCGACCCAAGAACCAGAATCTGTCAAACACATCTGGATGGCCATAGTGCATTCGTACTTTCAAAGGGTTTGCCAGAACACGCTGACCTAGTGTCACAAAGCTTGTCTCTTGAGCTGACATGAACCATGCAAGCGACGAAACCGATCCTGTGAAGATATTTTCACGGACCCCTAAAATGGTTGGTTTGCTAATACCATAGTTCGTATTGAACTCCTCTAGCAGATTCCGCATTTTGAGAGCTTCCTCAAAATAATTGTCTTGATTCATATCAATGGTCTGAACTGCATCACCCCGTGTAAAGATTATGGCATGATTCTGATTTTCTGGTTTCCCTTCTCCAAGCTTTAAAGGACCGGGCAACCGGATCCGATAAATCTCAACCTCACGCCGTAACTGCTGATCATACTTCACAAGAACAGAGTAATATTCAGTCCCCTCCCTCCCTAAAGAAACCTCATCAACATAAGCCACTCTAAGGGCCTCATTATTTTGCATCAAATAAAATATCTCATCAGCACGGGGATTCTTGTCTGCCTTGTGGTGCCCATACATCTGGCATGCCACCACATACGAAAACTTCATCAGTGCACTACCATATTCATGTCCCTTGAATAGCATGGACACACTGCTATCTGCCGTCCTGAGATTTGTCCGTAAAGATGAAGGCCCATTTGCAGATTGGCCATTTAAGCTGCTGTTTTGGTTTGTTGAACCATGTGAAACAGTATGTTCTGATTCTGGTCTCACGTCCATTTCAGAGGCGGAGTCAAGGAACGCTAGCGTCTTAAGGGCTCGATAATAATACATCATTCCCCTAACTGTGCGAGACAAAGTTTGACCTCTATGAGATACCCAAAGGCGGAGATCCCTGACCTTTTCTGTGGTCCAGATATCATCCTCATCTTTCAATCCTTGTCTTTGCATCCTTTCCATAAAATTTTTCCATTCATCTTCATATATCTTTTGCAGATAAAATAAGGTAGTAATACCATCCTCATTCTCCTTTCGGAGAGACTCTTTGCTATACAAAACTTCCTCATCATAGTATGGGGTCAAAACACTGAAAGCCATCATTTTCTCAACCTGGGGAGCACGGGGCATGTTCATAAACAAAGAATTGGTAAAGAAGGCAATTCTTCGCCTTGCCTCAAGATTCAATGGGACATTGTGCATCGAGTCTCTAGAAGTAAGAATTGTATCCAATCGTCTGAGCTGCTCAGAAAAGACTGCATCTCCAGCATCAGGAAAAGTTATAGCATTCTCAAAGAGCAGTCCTTCATTAGTTGTTGAACTTTGTCGTGCCAGACCATCCTGACGTAGCTGGTAGATGGTCTTCTTCACCTTTGGGAATTCTCGAACAAATAATTCATACAAAGCTTGCAATAAATTTACAGCCTTATTCATGTCTCTATCTGGTTGTATCAAAAGGTGAACAAATTCACTCACCTTAGCATGTATCTGAGGTAGCCGAGACATCTTGTATGCTTCTGTTAATTTCCCCATCTGAATGTAGTGGTCTATGACCCTGAATATATTAGTCACAATGTAATACTCTTCTTTTCTAGCTTTAAGAACCATGAGGAACAAATATTTGATACTGTCATAAGCTTCAATAACTGCACACCGACGATACTCATTCTTGCATATTTTCAACCAGAGAGACGAGTCAGATTCATTTTCTAGCTCTTTAGCTTGACTGACAGCAAGCAGTAGCTCATTGCAGAGAAGGGCACATGGCCATCGAATAACTCCAATATTCCAGCAATTTGGCGGCAGTTTCAAGAGCTCAAGTTCTCGATAGCTGATGATATCTTCCTCCCTAAAAGTTATCATAATCTCATTCCATATTAAGGCAAATCTAGTCGCATCCACTTGGCTTGATTCAATCTTTTTGAAGGGCTGACCAAGTCCGTATCGCAGTTTCAACCTATGGATGGCTTCGTAAAGCTTCTTTAACAGTGTAGGTTGTGAAGTTAGCAGTTTCTCCTCCGGCATCAGATTGAATTGCATAGCACTGGCAAAGAACTGAAATCTAAGTCTGAGTTGTGTTATATTCCGAATTTCACCCAAATGCGAGAACAGACCAATTATTGCACCGTAAAAGGCAGAGAAAATCGAATACCATATTTGCAAATCCATGAAGTATACTAGCACGACTGGCAACCACAGCAAGACAACTGCTACCCTGTTGGTGTTGTTGAAAAACTCATGCCATTTGTAAGAAATGTTTCTAAGATTCAAAAGAGCCTTTGTTGGAGCAACTAGAGGTTTGATCTGAACAAAATAACTGAATGAGAACTTCGAAGCTAATACTGCTACCCAGAATACAGTATACTTAACATTATCTACAAGTGATTGTCCCACACCCCGGCCCACGAAAATCCGAGTATGAAACCACCACGTCAACAAATAAACTATGCTCCAGTCTGATTCCGCAATGGCGTTCCGCAACCAGGGTACCAAGAACAGCACCAATGCCAACAACTCGGGGATAAGAAAGAAAAGGACAACTTTAAGAAATGTAATAATCCTCTGATTGGCTGCATCAGACCAGATTGAACTCGAACCCTTCTCGATCCAAATCATTCCATAAAAGACCGAAAACAAAACAGTCCACGTTATGGCAACCATGCTCTTCAGCGCCATCCTCACTCCAAGCCAAGTGGTCTCTCTAGTAACCAAGCTATACTGTGTCCCGGCATCAAGCACAGATTGAAGCAACCTCAGAGCACTCCAAGTGATAAACACAGTCAACATCTTCACCTGCACATCCCTTCTCTCCAAGGCCTGCCAAGGATAATTCGTACCCTCCCAAGAGACAATAATCGCTGCCTGAAAGAACAAAATCAGCATCACCCAAAGCCTATCAAAACTCTTGTAAACATTCCAAAACGACCTCTGCTCCACAAAACCAGTCTTGCCTACGCGCTTCTCCTTCGGAGTAGTCCCGAAGAAATTACTCTCAAAATTCAAAGGCCACCCCAGCCTCTTCAAACACCTCCTACTCCAAAAATACTCATTAATGTCATCATAATTTCTCCATGCAGAGTGCGGAGCCTTTCCATTTCTGCTACTATCAACTTCAACTTTAATAGTATTATAAATTGGCATAATTACAGACTTCAAGAACCCTAATTCACCAGAAACCGTAGGCATAGAAGGACGACCAGTATCAGGATCGATGTGTTCATCGATAACATGATTAACTTCCTTCGCCATGAAATGGTAAATATAACATATACACTCGGGAGTGAAACGAAGGTTACCGGCCTCTCCCCAAACCAGAAGGTACAGCGCAACGTACACCAACTCGCGGCGGAGATCGGTCGGGTCGCGACGGCTTGAGAGCAGCACGTTTGACTTCAGGCCGAGGAACGAGCACCACGAAGAGTAGTTGTGTAGCAGTTTCTTCCGAAAGCGCCGCAGCACGCCAGCGTCGAGCGCGTCAACGATCGCTGGCGGTGGCTCGAGGCGCATCTGCGAGTTCGCGAGGTGGAGAACCAGGTGCTCCCTCTGGTTTCGAGCGTTGTCTATTTGGAACCCGAACAGCAAGCGGAGCCAGTCCAGAAGGTCCATCTCCGGCTCCCACCGCATGAACTGATGTTTCGGGAGGTCTCCGACGGCGCGTACCGCCGCCGCAGCGGCGCGTACCTCTGGATATCGGAGCGACGGGTGGTCGTTCCAGAGGTCGTGTACGGGAATAATGTTGTAGACAGAGTTTAACGGCGGAAGGTTCCCAGCGCCACCGCGCGCGGCGACCGGACGCTGTCTTCTACTCATGGTGACAGAAGCGGAAATGAAAACGACGGAGTTGAGATTAAACGGTTAGTCACTTACTGAACCGTTTTCAGAGGCATTTAGTTCCTTGAGGTAATCGCGTTTTATTGCTTTGACTTCCATTTGCTCTTCAATTTCTCGTTGGGTTTTGCAACGGAAGAAGTAGGTTCGGTTTCAGTTTGAGTACACTCCGAGAAGTTGGAGCGTGGAGGAGATACAAACGTAGACGAGAAAGAACTGAAACTTTTAATTTCAGTGCTTGCGATTTGGAACATCGTGTGGCGCACGCCCCAATGACAGTGCTTTTAACGGCGGATTCAAATTTCTGACCCACAGTACTAAGTTGTGCATAATATAGTATGCAGTTAATTGCCATGAAACGACGCGCCTGGCTCTTGTGGGTCCCACACTGCGTTCGGGTCCCTTTTTGTGATGATAATGGGCGATGGCTGTGATGTGCCCCACGTGGATTTTGAATTTATCTGGATTCTAGTAAAACGACACGGCTGTGAGAATCTCTGCTTGCAACTTTTTTTATTGAGATGATGGCTAAGAATGTATTACTATCTGTGTTCTACAACGTGGCACGTGCAGCACGTGCACTGGTTTTAGCTCAAATGGATTATGCTGTGTCCCTTGTCACTGAAAAATGGTATTCCCACTTTCTTTCATTTCCTTTATGACAATCATTTATTACAACTTTGGTCTTAATCAGAATCAAAAGTAATAGAATAACATTTGCCATTTTCTAATTAAGAATATTGTTTTCATTCTTATTAAGTTTTATTCTTTCTGTAACTGAGGACCTACCACATCTCACTTAATCATAAGCTAAAAAAGTTAAACTATGTACATCTCTTCAGCTGTTACAAGTATCTGAGTCCGAATTTGGAAATTCTTTAGATGGAATATCACACACTATTAGCAAGACTTTAAAAAAATATGCAATCAACCAATTATAAATTAGCAACTATCTTAGAAACTTGTTACTATATTAACGCATCCTTAATCCGGACACTGTTGTGTGAAATGCGATTAGGGCATACAAACCAAACAATGATAGTGTTCCATTCCTAGGGCCAAAGTTGCTCTTGTCTTTCTTGTAATGCCCATAATGCAAATAAGATATTAACAAACGTTATCTTGAGTTGGCCCACATGATCCAATTTAAAGTTGCACACATTGAATACCGTTTGATTGAATAACAAACATTACAGCTGCGTACGCAACCATAGGATGTAGTCCCCCACATACACATTAATTCAATCTAAAAGGGCTGTGTCTGCTGATTTTACCTTAGCCGCACGCCAATATTAATCACCACCCATGTTTATTCTCATACCGCCACGACACGTTATAAATAAATAGTGAAGAAATTCAATCATTGCAAATATCACCCACATCAATAAATCTTCATTATTAACCCTACTGCAACACAAACATTGCTTGCAGTTCAACATTCATTCTGATCCCCACACAAGATATCTTTATACAACCATAAAACATAAATCTTCATGTAAAATAAATTATAGAGCATTGAACAGTGCTCCTCGTAAAAATATTTTGAGTTTCCTAGACTTGCACATCGTGACATCAAATAATATTTATTGAAAATGAGGAGATTGAATATACTCCATACATACAACGAAGGTTGGAAATCACGTAATTAGTTTTCTCAAATTATACTCAAGTTCTCCATTCCTATATGTCTATGTATCAAAGGAAGAGAGGGCTGTGTGAAAATTCAAACCCCCTGCTATAAAATCAGCCTTCTTCCTGGTTGGACCCACCCACTTGCCAAAGATTCGGACTTTCACATGATTAAAACTAAAAATTCCACATCAGATCTTCACTGTTGTTGTTCCATGGTAAATTCCAGTTACCCATAAAAATGGCAAGTGTTGTCTTCGCATGTAGGTTGAACTAACCAGGATAGACATGATCACTGTACATGTGAGCAGTCATATTTAAACCCTTAAGCATTGCTTCTCCTCTGACATTGAAGTTGAAGACACATAATCCGCCATTGTTGATATCAATTGAA